CCCCCCCGCCCCCCCCCCTCCCAAAACCGGCAGCGAAACAGCTCCCCGCCAGCATCCTAGGCTCCGGCGGGCGGGCAGCTTCACCCAGACGTCCCTGAAAACCCACAGGAAAGCTCCACACCGCCCCCCTGTGGCCAGCGGAGGTAGGAGCTGCGCCACAAAACGCCGAGGTCTGAGGGGGCGGAGCAGAGCCCCAAGCGCAGGTTCACCTGTTTCTCGGCGTTTGCTCACGAGAACCTACACCGGGGCAGCCAGACGGCGCCGCGCCCAGGTTTCCTGATGCTTAATTAAATAAAGGCGTGGGGCCAGCAAGTGGCTTGGTGTTTACGGTGCTGGACTCTCACATGGTCGACTCTGGTTCAAATCCAGGACCTTGCAGTTTGAAAAATCGCAGCAAATAAATAGACTAATAGATAAATGTAAAAAGAGCACAATTCTCCACACATTGCTGAATACTCCCTGGGAGACACAATCATCCTGAGTTAAAAACTGGCCCAAGAAGCTCGAAAACGACATCAGCTACGGTACCGGTGACAGCAGCTGCTGAGAAGGGAACATAACCTTATTTTATTTCATTTCTTAATTGGCAGAGGGTGGGTGGACTCACCAGAGAGAAACAGAGACAGAGGGAGAGAAGGCACCCCCCAAGCAGACGTGTTCAGGCCACAGTCCCTTCTCCCCCATGCCCCAGCCCACAGGGATTGGGAACGTAAACGCAGCAGCCCAGCATGTTTTGAAGCCCCGCAGGGGCCGGGATTCTCCTCACAGTCAGCCCCTTGGGATCTGGCTCCTAGAACCTCTCGCTGGAGTCCGCCTGTACAAGTAAGTTCTGTCTGTCTTAAACGTTTGCCAGGTGAACGCCCGCGCCGGAGTCCTGGGCGACTTACGTGGGGCACGAGCTCACACACCCTTCCCTTCCCGGCCGGCGGTTCCCTCCGCACACCGTCGTTAGGGCCTGCCGGGACCACGCTGCCACCGCCTTCACCGTCCGCCTTGTGCCAGCCTCGGTCACAGGTGGCACGGGAGGTCTAAAGACATCCCCGTGGCCTGAGTTCTCTTCCCAGAACGGACCTGTCATACAGTCTTGCTCCAGCCCTTCTAGACGCTGCCCGGCCCCGAGGACAGCACCACCACCAAAGACGGTTTCACAGAAACCTCTGGAAAGCCCCCATTCCTGCCCCAGGCCCTCAAGGAGTCCTCATCCCGACCTGTTTACAAGCCCTGCTCGCCCTGCCACCGGGACTGTACTCGGCAGTCTGGGACGTCCGACAAAGCCTGCCTCTAGGCCGACTCCCATCCCAGAAAGTGGCTCAGCCTCAGCGAGGGACCAGGCAGGCTCGGCTGTGCACGTGTGCAGGGACGGCCAAGCGCCTCAGCGCTCCCCATGTGGATGGAGATAGTCCTAGGGTCGGAGGGCAGGTCCCCAACAGCGAAAGCACGGGATTCTCGCGCGTGAGAAGTGAATCGCGTCAGGCGGTTTCTCTAATTCACGAGGGAGTCAGGAAAGTGGAGACGCTGCAGGACCAGCAGATGGCGTTGTGGTTAAGTCACTGGATTCCCACGTGGCTGACGATGGTTCCAGGCCTTGACCCGTGAGCTTGAAAACCATGCTGAGCACGCATGCCTGTGTGCCCAGAATCCCAAGGTTAGAACGGCGGGTAAGACTGCAGCGTGGCTATCCTCCAGGGCTTTCGCTCTGCAGAGCACACGTCCCCTATGGCAGAATCCTAAAAAAAAAAAAAAAACTCTACAAATGAGATCAATTGGACCCTGAAGTGGGACACCGCCATTGCTTTCTAGGTAAGGGAGCAGCTACTCGGCTGCAGGCTGTCCTTGGAGAGCCTGAAGAGCTGTCACAGGAAAGCTAGCTGGGCCCGGCTGGGCAGGGGCACAGACTTGAGGTGACGGCTCAAACTGCTCCATTTCTCCTCTGATCTTTGGTCGCTGTTTCTCGTTTTAAATAAATATTTTTATTTTACTTCTTACTATTATTTTAAAATTCGCTCCAGGGCATGTGCACTCACCAAAGAGAGCATGCGAGAGGGACAGTGAGGAAGCACGCTGCCAGCTCCAACACACCAGACCACCAGACGCTGGGCCAGCCCTTACCCGCCACACCACGCCACCTGCTGGCCCGTTGCTGTTTCCCGGTCTTACCTCGGGCCAACGTGAGAGACTGTTTTAGGAGTTCTAAATGAACTGACCGTGCTCCCATCAGATTGGCACACATTCAGACCAACATCTGGCGCTGATGAGGCCTCAGGGACGAAGGAGTGTGCCCTGAGAGGCTCTGAGGGCAGACAAGGCACCCAGACGGATGAGCACACCCATGTGCCTCAGGAAAGGCCGAGTGACAGAGGGTGCAGGCCCCACAGGTAGGCCAGAGGTCCAGGCAGGGCGAGGAGAGGAGACAGACACTTGTCCCTCTGGGCCAGGTGTGGCACCTCTAACCACCTCCTTCCTGTTGCAAGAGAGGGAGGTGGTGACGACAGGAAGCCTGCCAGCGGCTGCTGCAGTCTTCAGGGATGTAAACAGCTACACATTTTTTTTAGCATGGGTTTTTGTTTTTTGAGAGATTTTTTGCTATAGAGCATGTGTGCTCACCAGAGAGATAGAGACAGAAAGTGAGAAATCACCCCCCAGGGGGGATGGCCACGCCACAATCCCTTCTCCACTCTCCTCTTGGGATCTTGGGCACACATGCACACGCGCCGGGGGAGTTTTAAGCCACCGCGTTGGGGACTTGAACTGTGGTTGACTATGTGGGAGCCCAGTGACTAACCATCACACCATCTGCTAGTCCCTTAGCTTTTAATTGTCTGCAGACCTTCTGAACAGCCATCTCAGAAGATGCCAAGGCAGTGGGCCTGGAGTGGCACATGTGGCTCCCCACGAGCTCGTGGAAAGGTTTTCCCGGACCCGTGAACTGTCACAGCCGTTCTCTGCTAGTCACCTAAGAGGGTGCACACAGTGAAATCAAACACCTGCGGCCCTGGAGAGGCCGGAGCTGGTCCACACTTCCTTACCTGGCGCTGCGGACCCGGCATGCAGGTTCTGGAAGTCCATCCACTGAGCTTTACACTGACCAGGGGAACGGTCTTCTCCCTGTAGTGTCCCCGAATGGAGTTTTAAAGCATGCCTTGTGCCATGGCCCTGCTGGGCTAAGGGGACCCTCCTGGGTGGAAAACAGGCTCGACACCCTGCCCTTCACTCAACCCGCTGGGCCCACCCCGGCCCTTCCCCATTACCTTGATTCCGTCCCAGTTACGCCGGCTGTCACCTCGGCTGCTTACAGGGGAGGGCTCCGGGACACGCAGGACGGGGTCCTGACTTTCTGCCCCTGCTGTCACCAGCCGGGAGTCAACACCTGCTCCCGCCGTCCCCCCGCCCACCCCCCGCAGGCTTGCTGGGAGCCCGAGTCACGTGATCGCCAGAACAGCTGACCCGACTCGACCGGAAGAAGCAACGCCCGGCCGGGGCCTCCAGGCGCGATGGTGAGGGAACAGGGGGCAACGCGAGGTTGGGGCTGCTGGGAGGGGACGAGGGGGTGCGGGAGGGGAGCTGCACCGCCTCCGCTGCGGGCGCGCGGGTGTGGCCGGGGCCCAGGGGGTACGGTAGGGACGAGCCCCGCCACCACACCGCA